AATATTTAAAAAATTTATTATAAATAAACTAAAAAAATTTTTATTAAAAATTTTTTTTAAAATTATATATTTTTGGTTTATAAGCAATCTACTTTTTTTTTTATAATTTAAAAATAAATAATACAAAAAAGTAATTTTTATTTTTAAATATTATTATACGTACTAAATTTTATTTATAAATTTTAACATTTTAAAAAAGTAGATCAAAGCCAAAAAAATATAAAAATATAGCCAAATTTGTTCATAATAGTTTATAATCTAAGAGATATAGTTTTTTAATAATGTTTTTTTAAATATTAAGATAAGTATATATGACACAGGATTTTATTAATAGTATATATTGGCTAGCATCTGTTAATATAACAAATACAAAAACAATCATAAAAAAGGTATACAATTAATTACTTATACAATTTTAGTTATTGTTTAATTTAAGTAGTCTGCTTAAAGGTTTTATACTAGTTGCTATACCTAAAACATATCTATAGATCCTCTATTTAAACATTCTAATCTTATATCTAATATATTTTATTAACAACTCTGATAAACTGATAAAGATATGTTATGATTACTAAGTCATATTTAACTTTGTATTAAATTTATTAGAATCTTCTGTATTTTATACTTATAACTAACCTAGTATCAGTTTGGTTTAAACTATTACTTGTAATCAGAGCTAATCATTAAACTGCTATATTCTTGTATAATTCACTTAAACTCCAGTACCTATTATTTTTTACTAATTACAACTAAGAACTAACAGAACTCCTTAGACTTTTACTTCAGATAGCCTAGTATGATATACCTTAGTATACTTTTTTTTAACAATTCTGACAGTCTGGTTGATTATATGCTTCTTTAAATATTTTATTATTTAGTTTATTTACTATTCTTATTGAAGATGTTTTATAGATTTCTATTAGTTCAACAGTACTATTAAAAGTTTGTACTACTTTCTTACTCAGGATTTTCAAGTGAACTTTTGACTTCATAATTCCTTTACTTTCTATATCTAGTATTTTTTTAATAATATTATACTAGTGGTTTTTGATAGTTATATATATTATTTTGGTTTAATAGTTTTAAAAATTATTTTAAACTAATTTTTTATATTTAGATTTTTATACTATATTGAAAGTATAAAAATTACAATAGTCCTTACTATTAATATTTTAAAAAAAAAAATTACAATAGTCTTATTTGCTTTTTTTTTTAGTATTAAAATTTTGCTTATATTTTTATTAAAAATTTAAAATACTTATATAAGAGGTATGGTGACTTAGTAAAATAGATAAGTTATCATACTTCCAAGTGGTAGGTTGTGAGTTTAAAACCTATTGATAGCAAAATTTAAATAATTACCTATATAATATATAGACAGTATTACAGCGATGGCATTCTGTTGATCAGTTGTAATAGGATATCTGTAACTATAGTCACACCAACATGACTGGCAGGTTTAGAGCATCTGTGTAATCTGTTACACAGAAAAATGCAAACTGGTACCAGGCAATACAAACCTAAAATAAGTCCTTGGGCTATGTAAATCTGTAGAACTAGAAAGCCAGAGCCTACTTGAAAATTCTGAGCAGAGAGGTAATACAGATTTTTGACAGTACTACTGTAAAGGCTAGACCTAGGAAATGGATATTAATATGAAGAATTTAGATAGGCAAGAATCTTTGGTGAAAGGTACTACCAACCAAGCCACCAGATTTCAGACCAGAAGAAAAGGATATTAAGCCAGCCTTAATATACTAAGGACAGGTCATAGTCCTTCTGAGCTATCTGAATTAAGAGTCTGAGTTCAAAGTAGGGATATACTAAAAATACTAAAGATATGTGATGAAATTAGTACTAGGATCTAGGTAAACTCTGTAAGAGTAGCCTGTATTAGTGTTCTAAAAGTGAGTAGATAGTTAACAACAAAGGGCCTTCTGTGTCTTACTGGCAGTGATATACTCTAAAATATATAACAGTCTAAGAACCAGTACAAAAAAAGTAGGTAACCATACTGCTTAGATGGTATACTGGTTAGGTATATATGAAGAGTAAATTGGAGATTCTAATATAACAGGATGAATGATCAGAGGGTTTAAATAGATAATTACCTAGTAGGTTATAGATATAGCATTTAGTATAGAACTTTAGAATAAACTACTTAAATAGGTAACCAAAAGTTGCATATATGACTAGCTGTACTTTTATCTTTATAAAAATAGTTATAATAACTAACTCAATATAAAGTCAATAAAATATCACCACAAGTATGATCTTTAATAAAATATATATATATATATATATATATATATAGTTATATATATATATGCTATAACTAAAACTAATATTTGTAATTAGAACTAACTATTAAACTACTAATTATATAATTATTATTATTTGTACAAAACAAATAAATTAAAAATTATATATAAAAATAAAAATTTAGACTAATTTATCTATAACTTAAACCTACTATAATGATTAAAGTTTACTTAAATTTGAATATAAAATTTTTAATTATAAGTCAAATAATTGATATATTTAAATTTTATATAAAAAATTTAGATAAATTTTATTTTTTAACTTATTTAATAATAAAAAACTATTAGTTTAAGTTTTAAGTTTAAGTTTATAAATTTTTTAATATTAAAAAAATTTTTTTTATAAAATTTTAAAAATAATTTATAAATAATATTTAAAAATATTATAATATAAAATTTAATCTATTTTTTAATTTTTACTATTTGTTTATATGTAATGCATATCATTTTACTAAAATAAGTAATTAGAACTATTAACTAAATTGACAGTTCTAATTATTTATTTTATTAAAATGATATGTATTACTTATAAACAAACAATAAATATTGATAAAAAATTAACTAACTTTATATCATGATGCTTTTAAATATTATTTATAAACTATTTTTAAAATTTTATAAAAAGAAGATTTTAATACTAAAGAATTTATAAACTTAGATTTAAAAATTAAACTAACAATTACTTTTTACTAAATAAGTTTAAAAAATAAAATTTATTTAAATTTTTTAATAAAATTTAGATGCATCAATCATTTGACTTATAATTAAAAATTTTATGTATAACAAATTATGTGTACCAATAAATTCGTAAAAATTGATTGCACACGAGTATTAAATAAAGTTAAAGATCAATTTGATATTGAAACAAACACTGAAATTGGTTTTGATTATTTTTTATTAGTCATTAGTGTTCTAGAATAGGTTCCAACATTTATTTGTATTTTTTGTTTTTTGGTACGTTTTTTTCTTTTTTGATTTGTAGTATAAGAACTATTTCTTTAATAAATTTTGATTTGTCTGACAAAATTATAATTTTAGATTTAAAGTTATCAAAATTTTATGATGATAAAAACTTTTGCTAGTATTAATTTCGTTACAAATATAATTATTTTTATACATGTCAGTTCTTATATTCGTGACAGTTTAGTTAAAATTTAGAATTTCGATTAACCAATGAATTTTCACTATATCACAGAATGATCTACAAAAATTGGCTAATCATAACGAAGGCCTGCTATGCTCTCTTTAACATCTTTTTCGCTAACGATATTTTCTTTAGCTATACCTTCCTCTTTAATTATACCTTCTTCTTTAATTATGCTTTCCTCTTTAACCATACTTTCCTCCTTAACCACATCATCCTCTTTAACCACATCATCCTCTTTAACCGCGTCATCCTCTTCAACCGCGTCATCCTCTTCAACCACGTCATCCTCTTCAACCACGTCATCCTCTTTAACCACGTCATCCTCTTTAACTGTGTCATCCTCTTTAACTGTGTCATCCTCTTTAACTGTGTCATCTTCTTTAACTGTGTCAT